GGCTGCGGGGTACCTGGCAGCAACGAGGGGCTCCCATGGAGCTGGTCCAGGCACGGGCGGGCGACGGGATGCGCTGGAGGACGGGATGCCATCCAAGAAGGTCCTGCTGGATACGGGACCACTTCCTCATGCCGCATCCTCCTGCCTGGCTCTGCCTCATGCTCCTTCTCCCCAGCATCTGCAATTTTTCTAATAGACTTGATGGAACTAATTACAGCAGGAAGGCTTTGATGCAGCGCTGGCCGCACGGCAATTCAGCCACTGGTCACCCCAGCGGCATTAATCACCGACGCGGCATCGCTGGAGGAAGGAGATGCCTCGCCTGCTCCCTGCGCTCAGCTCCTTGGCCCCCTGTGCGTGGGGACACAACTGGGCACCGCAGGGCTCTCCCTGGGGACCGACAGGGGTTTGGAGGTGCCTGGGGAAGTCTCAGGTGCTTGCTGAGCACCCCTGGGTGCAGGGGGCAGCTGCCAGCACAGGGGCAGAGTGGCCCCCTCCGTCCCTTTGCCCTGCTCCCGATGCGGGGGGTGACAGCAGGGTGTCCGGGGGGACATCGCCGCACTCCGAGCCTGGGCTCAGCTGGGCACCTCGGATGGGGAGCGGGATCACCCCAGCACCCAGCTCTGCACCCGCTTGGGCAGAGGGGAGAGGGGGACGAGCCCCGAGGAGGTTTCGGGCAGCGCCATGATCCTGCAGAGCTTCCAGCAGCCTCCCAGCATCTCCAGTCCTACGTTTCGCTGCGTAGCTCCGGGCCATCCTCCCTCCCTGGCCAGGAATCCTCCCTGTCGCCTTGTTTGTCCCCATTAGTCACACATCCCCTCGCGCCGCCCGCCAGCTCTCGCCCTCGCTGGGCCATCCCAATTTAGCTCCTGTTGTCACTCCCAACCTCCCGGCTGCCTCCCCCCGCCCAGCCAGCCCCACCACAGCAGCTCTGGGGAGCAGCCCCGCCGCCTCTCTTCTCTTCCGAGTGAGCCTGCCCTGCGTCCCCAGGGTCCGTCCGTGCTGCAGCCAGACCCATCTGAGCCCTGCTGGGAACACCTCCGGTGCTGCTGGTCCCCTGTGGGGCTTCCAGCAAGCCGAGGGGAGCACCCCAGGGTGAGGGGGGATCGTCTGCGGTGCCGGTGAACGTCCACCGCCCCACTGCTCGCCAACAAGGTGACCTTCCGGCGTGGAGAGCACTGTGCAGGGCTCGGAGCGAGGGCCGTGCGGGCAGAGAAGGGCACGGCGCCGAGGAAAGCACCGGTGAGCCCGGATGGGGAGCTCCGCGGCATCTCAATCATGGGCTCCCAGGGCCCGAACGGGACGGGGTGACCCAAAGTGCCTGGCGAAGGGCAGCGAAAGCCTGGCCCGGCAGGGAGGGGAGAGCTGCCAGACATGCTAGCCCACAAGTTTTTTCGCCTCAGCCAGCGCCCCGAGGAGCCAGTCCGCAGCAGCTGGGAGCCGAGGCACATGCCCTTCCCGGCGGAGCAGCTGAACCAACCCAAAATATCCCACCGCGCGCAGTGAGATGCAAAGGGAACATGACAAACGGGGCTGCGATGAGAGGGAAATACTGTCTGAACCTTTATTGGAACCCTTTTTCTAACCAGGCTAACCACTCACACACCCTGGGAAGACTAACGAATACAGACCGCCGCTCGATGGAGAGCAACGGGAGCTTTACAAAGAAGTCGAACGAACAGACGCGCCGGTGCCGTTGGGGACGGAATTGACTGACAGGCAAGAAAACAGAGACGCCGTTTCCTTCTGGGGTTTTCTCCCATCTTGGTTTTTTGTTCTAAATCTTCTCGTTCCCCGGGTTTGGAAGGCAGAGCTGCCCTGGGCCGGTGAGGTTCGGGGTGCTGTTCTCTAGGCAACAGCTGGGACGCTGTGACCATGAGGCCGTCGCTACAAGCAGTGGATGCACCAGTGCTTCGAGACCCTCCCGCTCACGTGCAAACTTCCAGGTAGCAGCAAAAGTCACCACAATTATTTATTCTCTGGTTAAAGAGGTAATAAACCCCCCCCCCACAACAAAAACGAATCTCTCGGGCACCTGAATTCGTCCCTTTCTCAGACAAAGACCCCGAGGGCCCCTCGGCTCCCGGCCGGCTCTGCGGGAACAGCCCCACGCTGGGCACTCATCTCCCGGCGCCGGAGTCACGTCCACCTCGCGCAGCTCTGCGCACGGAGCACAAACACCTCCTCTCAGGTGACGAGGACGGTGGCTGCGGCGTCGGCGGAGCAGCGCTGGGGCAGGCTGCGATTTTTAGCGCGTCCCATGCCTTTGTCAAAGCTAGGGTAGATGCCTGCAGCAAGCTCCGTCTGACGCTGGAGACAAGAGAAGAGACATCCCTGGTCCTGTCCTGGCTGCCTTCCCTCAGCTGACGTCTGGGTAAAGCTACTGGTTCTGGGACAGAGCTCAGCGAAGGGGGCAAGGCAGGACATGGCACAAGGACGAGGGTCTCAGGATTGGGCAGGCTGGACATCTTTACGTCCTGGTAGAGACCATGGCAAGTTGCTTCAACCCTATCCCCTTCCTCACGTTGATGAAAGGGCGATGAGTCCCCCCTTCCCCAACAAGCACCGAGAACCGAGAGGGGGTCAGCGGTGGGAGAGCAGCAGTCTCCGGGGACCTTTGGCGACCCAGGCATCTCTCCGTGGCACAGAGGAGGAGGAGGAGAAGGAGGAGGAGGAGGAGGAGGAGGAGGAGCAGGGTCATTCCTCCGCCACAGCTGGTCTGCTGCCTCCAGCACCTTTCTGAGGGAGTCGTGATTTATCCAAGAAGATGGAGGATTGTCCCATGCCTTGCTCATCTCCATCTAAACGAGGTTCCTGCCTAAATCAGTGGTGGTTGAGGTCCAAATGAGCCTCATTTATCTGTTGGAGGCTGGCAGGCGACAGCCTCTGTCGTTCACCTCTCTCATAACCTCTCTCCAGTGTGTGTGGCAACACCTCGAAGGCTCCTGCCCTCACGGAACCCAACGGCAAGACCCAAATAGCTTTTTTAAAGCAATGCTCAATAAATAGAAGAAATAAATATTAAATAGAGGCTAAGTCCTCTCAGCCCGTTCAATGTATGTACAATGCATAGCAAAAGAACAGTGACTGGCTGTTGCAGACAAGTTTGGTACGAATTCAGTCCCCCAAACCAACAAAAACATTGGCAAAAGTTGCAGTCAACATAAAGCAAAGCTCGACCGAGTGCTGTAACCCACGAAGAAAAGGAATGACGCGACAGTGCTTTGAAACGTCCCTTCTCTTTGCTTTCCAGCAAACTTGCAGAGGTTTTGTTGGGTTTTCTGGAGCCTGGCCTCAGCGCTGGGGCTGGGAGGGGGGGGACGCGCCTCGCTCAGTG